TGAAAAATTTTAATAAGAAGAAATTATGAGTAGATTTCAAAATTTGAAAAACAAGTTGTACTCCATCTTTAGTCCTAAAAAAAATAATCTTAAACTAGGTCTTGGAATTTACAAAAAAAATCTTAAACCTATTGCACTTGTGCTAATTTAGTCCTAAAACTTTACATGTTTAGCTAATTGAGTGCATTCGATCAATTTTGGCCAGAAATTACTGACACAGACCTCAGCTGTCTTACATGGCACGACCGGCGTTATAGCTCATTTGAGCCTGCAAATTCATTTCTAAAATCAAGTTGGTGATCATTGCTCACATTGGGGGCAAGGTAGATGAGTTACTAGATTGAGGTAGCATGATCTGGAACATCGACTAGACATGAAGACCTTGAGAGTCCAAAAATGCCGAAATTTTCAAGAGCTAATAGCACCGCTAAAGCCAAAGTTTGGTTGGTCTATTAGCACACTCCAAGAAATGTGTCAAAAGAAGAATAAAAAAGAGAAAAAGAAAGAAGAAAAAAATCAAAAAAAGAAGAAGAAATGAGTGAAAATATTTGGCAGAAGGCCAAGTTTGTAAAAGTCATCCTAAGCAAAAAGCGGTGATTTCGCAAATTTCGATAGTCAGCATTGGACTATCATGGCTGATGAAGCATCTACATGAGAAGACAATCCCCGATGAAGGAGAAGATTGGTCACGATGTCAAGATGATTACCAACTTCAAACCCCTACAGTGAAAATTTTTTGAGCCTAATGAATCTTTTTGTTTCTCATCCCATTAACCAAGTATACGTTATGTCCCTTACAAAATCTCTTGGGATTAGGGCACTTAAATTAATGTACGAGCTTCAAATGTTAAAAAGTATTGCCCGAAGAAGTGCGTGCATGATTGTTTATATCTCATTGACAAGGTTCTTGACTTGTAAACCTGACAAAAATGAATGAAAAACATTTCTTTTAAGCCATGAATTATTTATTTGCTAAGCTGTTGATGAAACCTGCATTACAATCTTGATAAAGACTCCTTAGATTAGTAAGGTTGTATTGCTTGTGAGAAAACTCGGACCCTTATCGACACGATGATAATGGTATAATTGAGCGATTCTCTTATTCTCACATCAATGGTCAGGACAACAATACCATTCTAGATGACAATAAGCGAAAAGTCCTTTCAGGTTGAAAGTCTTTCATATGGCATTTTGAGCAAATCCACGTCATGAATAAAGATCTCCCGATGATGACTTTTCTTGTGGAAATTTGGTGATGTAAGCATGATAAACCATTATGCATGAACCTCAATTCAATTGATAAAAACCTCAATGAATTCTTGAAATGTGCATTCTAGAATAGCCTAAATTGTCTATCTTTTTTTATGAATGCATACATATGTGCTTTAATCGTGTTTGTTAGGTAATGTTTCCTCCAAGATCAAAGAGTTCCTAGTACTCGACGTTCGAGTTGCTCTCTGAAGCCTTGTGACGCGTCCGAATAATCTTGAATCTCCAAGCCACCCTACGTGACAGACCTTAGACCCTAAGTGAAAAGTCTTAGGTATTCCCAAACCGTAAGTGCAAAACTTTAGGTAGTTCAAGTTCTAAGTGAAAAGCCTTAGACAAATTAACTCCTAAGTTAAAAACCTTAGACAATTCAACTCCTAAGTTAAAAACCCTAGACATCTTTAAATTCTAAGAGAAAAACCTTATACAATTCAAGTCCTAAATGCAAAACCATAGGTAGTTCAAATTCTAAGTGAAAAACCTTAAATAATTCAAAACTTTTCATATCCTGAGTGCAAGACCTTAGGCTTACCAAGTCCTTAGATGAAAAACTCTAGACAGCTTCAGACACCTGAGATGATAAACTCTAGGTAGTTCCAGGGATTAGCTTTTATAATGACGATGAATATATATCTTCTGTTTTTTTTTCTTTGGATTGGAAACTTTGCCTATTTGAGCATAGAGAAACGGTAAAAGGACAAATATATTCTGATACACCTCCCTGAGACAGACATAAAATCTTGTTTTTGTTTTGGTCCTAGAATTTATTAAGTGATTTTTTCAAGAATCACCCATAATCACTGTTCTTGGATGTCAACCAGAAATCGATAGTACTAATGTGTTTGCAATAAGTTGGCGGATTTGTCAATGCCAACCATAGTCAAAACTACTTGTCACACAAGCAAAAGATGGCGTGTTGAATTCCAATAAAAAATGGTGAAGAATATCTTCCCGTTGTTACTTGAGAGAATATATTATAAATCTAAACCTAAAGATAATGTGATTGATAGAATCAATTATAATACATGAAAAATATATATTTTAGTGGGTCCAATAGATTTTTGTAATATGATCAATTCGATCTAATAGATCTAATCCCGTAATCTACATATCCTAATATCACTCGTTTTTCGTGGTACAACGAACACGTGGAACCCTAATCTTAAAAGGCAGCACTGCTTGCTCCTCCATCTTTGACCATTTAAGCTCGTCATCATCGTCCCAGCGTTGCATGCTTTCTCCTTAATAGCGTAGTCAATTAAAATACGAGAATTGAATCGCGTTTCTAAACTTTGCTTCTGGGATTTTCTTTGCCCCCTTAATGGAAAAAACGAAGGCGTTAGGCAGGATCAGAATAGATGCGGGAAGAGGCAGGAGCAGCCGCAGGAGATTTGAGGTGGCTGGTCTGGTCTGGTCATCCTATCGGTGAAGAACGTTTAAGACGAGGGTCAAACAATGGAAGGTATTGTGAAGCGCAGGTTTTTTATTTTATGATATCCGCTGCATCCGCTAGTCTTCGGGAGTTCGTCAGGAGCTTGACTGTTTATTTACATACCTGCACGTGATGATTGTAGGTGGTGGCTCTGGCAAAACTCTATTCCAAAGCTTTTGTTTCCATTAAAGATGGAATGCAAGTGGACGATACTACTACTCTATTTTCGCAAAAGAGCGGATTTTTTTTTTTGTGACAAAAAGTTATTGCAAAAACAAAGTCATCGATCATATGATTCTTCAGTAAATTAATGGTAACATACGGACACATTTATGAACTTACCAACCCTTTTTGAAAGTTTGTAAATGATCGAATTTTCTTTTTCTTTTACCAACTTTTCCTTGCCTTTCTTATTACGGCCTTGAATTTACCAGTTTTATATGAATTTATTATATTTGAGTGACTTATCATCTTTTTTTTTTTTTGGTTTTACTATATGCCACTAACTAGTTTTGGGTTACCCACTCTTATCTTTCATTTACCAATGTATATTTGCTTTCCTTTAATTTATCAAATTTTATTATCGTTTACTAACTTTTATTTGTCATTGTTACACGTGTCTTGAATTTATCGACTTTTATATGAACTTACCAACCTTTATTCGTGTGACTTACTAGCTTTTCTCCCATTAGGTTAGTAGCTAATTTTGGTTTATCAACTCTAATTTGAGTTATTTACCCATATTTGTATTTTTAAAATGTACCACCATTCCTTTTAAGTCACCAACTTTTCATTACCTTACTTTTCAACCCGTTAAATATACTAGCAATTTAGAAATTAGCAACCTTAATTAGAGTAATTATCGACTTTCTTCCGATCAAATTACTAACTAGTTTTACATTACCAATGCTTATTTTATTTAGTTTTTTTTTTTTGGTTAGTGACCATTATTTGGCTTTTTCTTAAATAAAATACTTTTCTTAACTTTGACAAAAGAACTTCTCTTATTTGTTACAAACTGTTATTTAGCTTTCTTATTAATGCCTTAATTTATCATATATTATATGAAATTATGAGCATTTATTTCCAACATTTATTCAGTTAAGGTACTATCGAATTTGGGTTACCAACTCTTATTCGAGTTGATTACCAACATTCATTTGTTTTTCTTAAATTACCGACTTTTCTTTTGAGTCATCACTTTTTTATTTGCCTTACTTACCAACTTTTTAAGTTTATAAACTCTTTTAGAAATTACAAACCTCAATTAGAGTGTTTACCAATTTTTTTCTAATTAAGTTACTAACTATTTTTATATTCCAACTCTTATTTGAGTTAATCATCAATTTTTGTTTAGTTTATTTTTAAATTCCCAACTTCTCTTTTCTTTGATAAAAAAAAAACTTCTCTTATTGTTTATTAATTTTTTTACATTTCTTACCAACGATTTAAATTTGTAGATTACTATATAAAATTACCAACCTTTATCTGTATGACTAACCAACTTTCGCGAATTGAGTTTCTATCTAATTTCAGGTTTCTAACTCCCATTTGAGTTGTTTACCAATGTTTATTTGTTTTGTCTTAACTTTACCAACTTTATTATTTAGTTACCACTTTTATTTTCCTTGCTAACCAACTTTCTTAATTTATCAATTCTTTTTAGAAATTATCACAATTCAAGTGATTTCCGATCAAGTTACCCAATAGTTTTCGTTACTAAGTCTTATTTGAGTTAGTTACCGACATTTATTTATTTTTTGTCTAAGTTACCAACTTGTCTTATCTCTGAAAAAAATTGTTATTTTTTACCCACTTTTATTCATCATTCTTATCAATGCCTTCAAATTACCAGCTATTACATAAAACTTACAAATTTAATAATGTGATTTACCAACTTTTTTGCCGTTTAATTACTAACTACTTATTTCATTTGCTTACTAACATTTTGTTTTGTAAACTTACTAGTTTTTTTTTTAATTGAGTTGCCACTTTTACTTGCCATGCATATTGGCCTTTTTCTACTATTAAGTTACTAATTAGTTCTGCGTTATCTAACTCTTATTTGAGTTATTTACCAATGTTTTTTATTATTCTAATTTACCAACTTCTCTTACCTCTGATAGAAAAATTCTCTTATCTTTTACAAACTTTTATTTACATTTCTTTCCAATGTCTTGAATTTACAAAGAATCGATTGGAGACGACTTGATAACTTTGTTGTACTAGATCACAAGCTTGAGGCAATGAGAACTTTTATTCATTTGATTATGCTATAAGCTCAGACTAGTAAAACACGTACACAAAATTCATCTGAAAGTCCTATATTGAAAAAAGTTACATCCAATGGTGCATTAAGCTTCCCCTCGGAATTTTAATGGAGGAGAATGGAAAGAATAAAAGAAGTTCGAAGAATGCCTATACACAACTAGCATCGTTTCAAATTCGTGGAATTATGTCCATGTGGCGACCTCGCATGACGAAGTTTTCTCTCATTTGAAAATAGCTTGGCGAACCTGAAACCAAATTGGATAATTGCACTTAAGTAACCTCAGATGTACAACTAATGAACCCTAAACCTTTAAATACACTAAAGAATTTAATTTCATCGTTCTAATAGTTCATTACCTTCTAAGAGCCTCTTCATTAGTCTCTGGTTTAGACGCCTCGAATAGACCCGTCTCCAAGTCTACCCTCGAAACTGGCTTCTTCAATAGCGCTTCACCGGTTTTGACTAAGCCGTTCAGGTTTTTTTTCGTCGCGATATCGACAGATGCCACTTCACCGCTTAGTGTGTCGTCCTGCGGATTTCATTTACGAGAATCAATATACAGCGTGTTGACTAAAGCTAGGAAATCCTTGATAAAGACATCAAGGTCAATGTTATGCAAGTGAAATTCGAGAAATTTAAATCTATTATACCTGGATTCGGAGGTAGTTGGCTTCAAGGTGTAGTGCCCGGAAGACCGCGGAGAGGCGGAAATCGACCATATCGGCGCTCGCTTGCATGAACGCATTGACCAACGGGCTCCCACCCTTGCTGCTCAACCAGCCCAACACTCCCCATTTGGCAGCTTCACTTGCATCGTGCTTCCTTTGGACTTTTTGCGAGCCGGTCCCGGGTGATATCACCAGAAACCTTCTGTAATCCATGGGCTTTATGGCGAAGAAATCCGAGCTTTCTCCCATGATCTCCTTTGTCACTTCCCCCATCGCAAGCACGGTCTATTTTGAACAACGTCAAATAAGTGATTTGATATTATGAGTCGTCAACTCACGATTCACATAAAACAACAATAGGGAAAATTAGCCTTGCATATCGGGTTGTTTGCACCTACGCCACCATCTATGAGGTTGAATTCTCTCACTTTTCCTGTGGAGTCCTGGGTTTCGAAGTGATGAGCTGGGAGATAAGTTGGTGCTGCTGAGGTTGAGATGCAAATGTCTGATAGCAAGGCGTCTATGCTCGGCTTTCTCTTTACCCGCTCATTTATGCAGGAAACGAGCATATCTATGTAGTTACTTTTCTACATGTAACCCGCAAGAAACAATATTAAAAAAATTGAATTATATTTCAAGGACAAGAAAGATGAACCTCGTAGCTAGAAAATATGGTTGGCTGAAGATGATTGATGTCGAATGTCGGGATCACAACATTTGTCAATGTCTGGTGCAATCTTCTGTTTCCGAGTTTCTCTTTGACAAGCTTATGAAGGTATTTTCCATCATATTTTGGTCCTGTCACGGCTTTGATCATCTTCGTAGCAGGAGCAAACGGGCAACTGTGTAGTTTCGAATAAGATTGATGTTATATAAGAAGAGTCATTATCATAGACAAACAATCATTTGTACATACAACACCTAATATGTTTTGAATCGGCCAGCTAAGCTAACCTGTCTTGCGGGAAGATTTTAGGGCAGTTATCGAGGTAGAAATCCTTAATATCCTTTGTGGCAAATAAGGGGCGGTTGTTCTCGTCGGGGCTAGTTAACATGGCGGTGACCAGACCTCCGGTGCTTGTTCCAGCAATAACATCAAAATAATTTGCGATCCTCGCGTTTTCACCATCTAGTTTCTGCACAGTCCTCAAAGATATGTGTGTTCTCTAGTTAGGAATCACAGGTTGCCTGGGGGACGCATGCATAAAAATAGAGAGCTTTGTTCAAGTAGAAACCTGAAGCTCAGACTCTAAGGCTGCGCATGACAACTTGCCAAATAGTATTTGATTCTGTTCTTTTGTTCCCAGAATCAATTTGGGAACAGAAATGCGTTTGTTTAATTTTTTGATTCTGGGCACAATTTTGTCAAAAATTGTTCCCAGAATCAGTTTTCAAGAATAAAAAAAAAGTAGCTTCTTGATTCTGGGAACAATTTTGAGAATCAATTTTTTTTTCTTTTTCCTTTTCTTGGTTTTTAATGTAGCTTCTAATGTCCGGCCCGAGGACCGCTCTCGTCGGATCTAACGAGAATAAAATATTATTAATAAAAAATATTTTACTGGCCATAGCCGGCGATCAGGCCATGGCCAAAAAAAATAAAAATATATATATTTTTAATAAAAAAAATATTTTACTTGCCATGGCCGGTGACCAGGCCATGGCAAAAAAAGAAAAAATATATATTTTTAATAAAAATATTTTAATAAAAAATATTATTAATAAAAAAATTATTTTACCGGCCATGGCCAGCGACCAGGCCATGGCCAAAAAAATAAAAATGTATATTTTTAATAAAAATATTTTAATAAAAAATATTTTACAGGGCCATGGCCAAAAAAAAGAAAAAATATATTTTTAATAAAAATATTTTAATAAAAAAAATATTTTACTAGCCATGGCCGGCGACCAGGCCATGGCCAAAAAAAATAAAAATATATATTTTTAATAAAAAAATTATTAATAATAAAATATTTTACCTGCCATGGCCAGCGACCAGGCCATGGCCCAAAAAAATAAAAATGTATATTTTTAATAAAAAATATTTTACAGGGCCATGGCCAAAAAAAAGAAAAATATATTTTTAATAAAAATATTTTAATAAAAAAAATATTTTACCAGCCATGGCCGGCGACCAGGCCATGGCCAAAAAAATAAAAATATATATTTTTAATAAAAAAATTATTAATAAAAAAATATTTTACCTGCCATGGCCAGCGACCAAGCCATGGCCCAAAAAAATAAAAATGTATATTTTTAATAAAAAAAATATTTTACCGGCCATGGTCGGCAACCAGGCCATGGCCAAAAAAAATAAAAATATTTTAATAAAAAATATTATTAATAAAAAAAATATTTTACCGGTCATGTCCGACGACCAGGCCATGGCCAAAAAAAAGAAAAATAATTTTAATAAAAATATTATTAATAAAAAAATATTTTACTGGTCATGGCCGATGAGCAAGCCATGGCCAAGAAGGAGGAAAAGAAAAAAATAAAAGAAAAAAAAGAAAGAAATATTAAAATATTTAAAAATATTATTAATAAAAAGAAATTTTGTGGCGTTACCAAACGCATTTCTGTTCTTTTTCTATTCCAGGGATGGAATTTTGGGCCGTTAACAAACGCCTTAAAATGCTCAGAATCAATTACGGGCACATAATCAAAAAGAATAATTTCTGAGCAGAATCTGTTCCCGGGCATAGAATCGTTGTCATGCGCAGCCTAAGAAAGCGAGAATGATTCCTGGAATAAGCCCTCTTATCCCTCCACCATCGATACTAAGAATAGTAATGAGGTTTCCGAAAGTTGGAGGTTGAAGCGGCAAGCTAATTGCCCTTTCCATGGATGTATTTGCTAACTAAAAGGACACCTTCTCTGCGATAAGTTGTGAAGAAATGGATACCAGCGGACCTAAATTCAGACAAAGTATGTGCTTTTCTTTTTTGCTAGAGTGAGAAACAGAGAGAGGGGCTCTGAGGAAATTATTGAATTGCAAATGTGCTTGTGCTGTAGAGAAGCTGGAAATGGGATAGTTTTGTGATGGCCTTTGTCTGGATAAGAGGCACGTATTTATAGGCTATGTTTCATTCATTAATCGACCGAAATTTAAGGTACGATCTTGCTTGAAATCGTCATAAGTTGGACCGCTGGAAAACATTGTAGAGTCCACTTTTCACAGCTGATGATGCTTAAACAGTTACTGCTTATAGCTGAGAGCTCTTTCAAGTCACCCTGCTGAGTGAAGAATAGTTGTTGAGATTTTCAACATTCGAGAGACTTGTCGGTTTGAAAATTCAAAGAAAGGCTTGCTGGGGCCATATTTTGGGAGCAACATTCATTCGTGATGCACATATAGTAAATATGTGAGAATGTATATCAAAATATGTCACTTTCGAATGGTTTTTCTGAGTTCTTCTATACATATGGTGGCTTCTTTCCAATTCATGTCTTCTGCAATAAATTAAAATCAGTCATCTTCGCTTGATAGCACATGACAATGAACCTTATTGGAAAAGATCAACGTGTTGGCGGCGGCTCAAGAATTTGGAATTGGAATTTTGTTTCTGGTAATCCGGAGTTGCTTTCCACGAAACTAGCAATGTAGACAATGTTTTATACCGCGGGTGGAGATATGTTGCGGTAAATTTAGAGATATATAGGCGAGGAAAGGTGGTCACTAAGATTTAAAATGACTATTAGAATAGTTAAGGTAATTGTGATTCTTTTCTTTCATTTCTCTCCCACATATATTGGGTTTTATCAAAATGTATATCGATTAGAATAGATAAAGAGATAGCATGGTTATTTCTTTGGACAAACCCATCTACTTATTATGTCAGAATGAATGGCATATGTTTAAACTTTTGACTGAAAAATAATGGCTAGGGTTTGAGCTGTAACTTGTCCAAGGCAAATTGATTGACGAGTTCAAATTCAGGTTTTACGCGTGAAGGAAAATAAGTACTTAATTAATGCAAGTGTCATCTGTAACCTCTTCATCCACTCGTCGTGCCATGGCTCATCGGCATTCCTCTTGGTGCTATACTTGATGAACGGGAAAATTGTTCAAAAAGTCCGAAACCTATTGCACTTTTGCCAATAGAGTCCTAAACTTTTTGACAATTTACCAGTTGAATCCACTCGGCCAATTTTGGCCGGAAATCACTGACATGGACGCCGGCCGTCATCGCCGTGCCACGTAGGATGGCTGGCGATGATGTGAACACGTCGAAACCCTAGCTTCAAATAAAGCAGTTTGTGCTCTTCCGCTTTTGACCTGTAAAGAGAACCTAGTGCTCATCCCTGTTCCTTTGCATACTTTCAAAGCTAGTTAATTAATTTAACACGAGATTTGAATCACATGTTTGAAACTCTGCTTCTAGGTCGTGTTTTTTTTTTCCCTCACTTCATGGTAGAATTGTGAGGCAGAATCAAATAGATGCGAGATGACGGGTCAGCCTGGCGGAGAAGAACTTGTTCATCTTCAAGCAACGAGAGGGTCGATGTGGAGGCTTTTGGTGATTCAAAGATGGCTGAAAGTTTAATGGTAATATAATGTTATGGATAAAAAAGCAACGAAAGTGACGAATGTCCTTTGATGAGACTTCCTTCCCGTTAGCTATACGAATTGTGAAAATTAAAAAGAAAAAAGATATGAGTAGATCTCAAAATATGAAAACCAAGTTGTACTCCATCTTTTGTAGGGGTGAGCATGGTTCCAAGTTCTACTCTGGAACCTGAAAACCTGACCAATGGGAACCTGTAGGTTCCAGGTTCTAAAGTATGCAGAGTAGGTTCTAGGTTCCAAAAATTGGGATACCTAATTCGACGGATAGGTTCCAGGTTCTAGATAGGTGGAATCTGGAACCTGAACCTGCCTTCTCGTGATCCTGTGGTGTTTCTTGGCATTAGATGATGAGTGTATGATCTGGAACCACTAATCTGAACTTTCATTTTCTGACTTGTTAATGTTTCATATTCTTTGTATGCTTGAATATAAGTTGTGGTTAGTAGATCATAATAGTAAGTGGTGGTTGTTAAAGGTAATGATTCACTATAATTGTTCAATTAATAATATAGGTAGAACTTGAGTAGACTTTGGAACTGACCCTTAAACCTGTGATAGGGTAGGTTCCAAGTTCCAAAAAATGAGGAACCTATTATCATGGGTGGAACCTATACAGAACATGGAACTGGTCACCTATAGTATCGATTCATGCAATGACTTCTTATTTTAGTTATATTTATTTGAACCGTAATGTTAGGAAAACTAGTCTTTTGTATTCTCTTTGATGAATGACAAGCTTATTCAGTATTGTTACGTTCATTTTTATTTTGTTTAACTAAAAATGTAATAAAAAAAAGAACTTGTTAGACCCTGGAACCTGTGATAGGGTAGGTTTTAGGTTCCAAAAAATAGGGAACCTGTACTTGAGGGTAGGTTCTGTTGAGGAAAACTCCTATTGATTTTGAAGTTGACAAAACCTTCTATGTTATTGTAAATCTGATACTTATTCTAAACAAATTTATTCCAGGTCTGTATATTCTGGAAGCTCAGAAGAAAGTTATTCAGACTTTACAAACTGTTAAATATGTTTTTGAAGACCCATATAATCTAGGTTCTGAGATTCAGACGCAGAAG